CCCCAAAACCCCAAAACCCCAAAACCCCAAAACCCCAAGTATTTCAAATATTTTATTTAATAAAATGCTATTAGAAACGAACTTCTACAATCCAGTACCTACACAGACCATGAAAAAAGGCAAGAGCAGCTCAAGTAAGCAATTCGTGTACATAAAACTCCCTGTTGTTTCAAGGTTGAACTATAATCTCTTGTTTAGAGCATAAGATTAGTCTAAACAAAAGAACACAGAAAAACAGCCATAGCTTAAAAAGAATCTCAAGAATTGAACTTGAAAGTCTTAATAACTCGAAGCAGAACCCTATTGATCTTCCTTACGCAGACAGTTCTAATATAGACAACAAGTTTACAACAACACAAGAAATGAGGTATAAAAGATACAAAGTAAATCGTAATAAAGGTAATATTTCATGCAACCTCTCTAGTAAAACTGCAAAGAAACAAGAAGTTCTTCAATGGAGTGCTTAGAGAGAATAAGAGGCTGCTCCACCAGCTAGTAAAGATCGATAAAAGGCCAATGGAGTTCTCAGTAAACAGCATTGCTCAAAACAGCATTCCTCTGCAAAGCTCACTTAAAGGAAAATAAAAGACTTAGGTAAGCTTGAAGCAGGAATTTATAGTAACCTCAAGAGAATTACTAGGGAAAACCACTGGTTCCTTAATAGACTCAGAAATACTACTTCTGTATACAATGTTCTTGGGTGGGAAAACGATCACGCCAATCGCAGTATGCAGGGATTAAATGTATAGAAAGCAATACCACAGGTTCCTTAGGACGGAAAAGTTTTGGCACTTCAATGCAAAGAGGTAATTTGATACATCGATAAGCTTTATATTTGAGAGGTCGAATGCTCATACTTTGAGCATTTCAAACACTTTACATGAAATAAAAGTTAACTCATCAAAATAAAGGACTCAAGCGAATTAGAAGTTACAAAAACTCGCTCTTACCTGAAAGTAGAGTAAACAGTTTATCAGAACAAAGAATAATGAAGATTCTATAGTTTCAATATCTTCTACAATAATCGGGGTTTTGGGGTTTTGGGGTTTTGGGGTTTTGGGG